ATTTTAACCTTAACAATTCAGTTTTAGCTTCTTTGTTCAGCACTCAACATTCCCATTGATTTTCTCAGAAAAGGCCATGTTTTTCAACTGATTTTATTTATTTTATCTTTATTCAAATTTAAATGTTCAGTGAAAATTGTATAAATAAACTAATTGTTGAAACGGCTGTAGTGAACAACCCTGGGTTAATCTAATATTGTCCTTGTGGTGAAAACAATTTCACCACGACACACGACACAGCATCGTACAACAATCAATGAAATAACTGAAGTCACAAAATAACAAAGTCTTGCATCACAAACTTGGCAGTGACAGAGCACATGGCCACCGGGTGTTTGTGAATACTTGAAGTGTTAAAGTGAAAAAAAAAAAATCATTCTGACATTATGAAGCTTATTAATGTTGCTGCAAAAACTCCTGTGTGCCTCTTATTTGTCACTCGAGCAGCTCCTGGATGTGTCACTTGGTGAGACGTCAGATTTAATCTCTATCCAAGGGCATCTGTAATTGATTCTATCATTTCAAAATGTGACAGAGTTCAGTTTTATTCAGACTACTTGTGTTTTAACTATAATCCAAGAAAAAACATGTAATGAGGTGCCTTATTCTATCCTGTCAGACCACAGGTTTCTGTACAGGATCAGTGTTTGGAGACTTGAACCACCACCCTGATGTTCGAGTGTCCTGTGAGATGTTCAAAATACAGGTACAGTTTACACAATATTAAAAATATAGTTTTCATTTTCTACAATGAAGCAGCAAACYTTAATGCTGTGGAAAACATTTGGAAGATCCAAATCCTGAGTTGAGGTGATTTTAAAAGTCTAAAAATTTGATTTACTGTTTGTTATGAGCCCCGCACGCAAAGTGGGGCTGATATTGTTTTCGTACTATTTATTATAATTTTTTTTCACGATTTTTGGTCAATCGTATAGCACGGAAACGGCTGCACCGATCAACGTGGAATTTGGTAGGAATAAGAGGTTTATAGTAACTAAGTACATTTAATTTGTTAAAGTACTTAATTCTTATTTTTGAGGATTTGTAATTTTACCAAGTATTTTTAAACCGTGACTTTTACTTTTATGTTGTTACTTTTAAAAGCTAAAAAGGATACTTTTACTTCTTTACTTTAAAGTTTAACACTTAAATCTGTCAGAACTCATCATGACAGGAGATGCTTATGCGCTCTAAAAAATTAAGTGTTGTATTTACTCAAACTAATCATGTCAGCTATTTCCACTAAAACTAGCAGAGTAAATTTGAGGCAGTAAACTTATTTTATTTTAAAGAAATTGACCAGTTTACTCAACTTGGTTTTGTGGAGCCAGTTTGGTTCAATAAAATTATCAGTTTATTTGTTAGAGAGCGTGGAAAAATACTTTTACTTTCCCAGTTTTTGTCAAGAATTTTATGACTTTTACTTAAGTACTATTCTCATCAGTGACATTTATTTTTACAAAAGTCTTTTTCTGTCAAGGTATTTTTTACTTTTACTTAGTTAATTTTTTTCAAGTACTTTATCGACCTCTGGTAGGAGTGTAGATGAGTCCGACCTACACTGCACCAGCCAACGGTTTTACGATAGACCCCATATTTGAGGAGGGGGCTCCATCTGAAAAGGGGGTATCTGGATATTCAAAAATGCTTATAGCTCAAAAACTATTCAACATTGGAACTTCAGATTTGTTTTTGTTGTTTAGTTCTCACGAAAGGTTTTCCATCGGGCCCACCAATTAGCAACCCCCACCCAAAACAATAAATCCACTCTGATGACTTCTGAGTTCTGATGCTTTGGTACTTTTCCTGTGTGCGGGGGTCTTATATGCTGTATGTGGTATCTAGCCTGAATAGAAACAAGTGTCAAGTATTAACAACACCATACTCTAAAACAATGGTTCCCAAACTTTTTATCTTCTGACCCACAAAATATTCATGGTAAAAACTTGTGACCCCAAATATTACTGGTCTGAGTACATGAACTTTGTTAATAACCCTAAAAACACAGTTTTTTTTTGACAATCTAAACAGCTTGAAGACAAATATAAATACTTATTTTTACTTATTTTGTGATTTTGTAAAAGTTATAGGG